GACTTGCCAGATAAGTGAGTTCTGGGTTCAAGTGACCATGCCTCCGTACATACAGTGGAAAGTGACCCAGGAAGACACCGAACTCAATCTCAAACCTCATAAGCATGCACACATTCTTGCATATATGCATACACACTGTACACACACAAAAATAAAATGTATTATCTTTAAAACTTTTGTTTACAAACTGTAAAAAGTGTGATAAAAGCAGAAGCAAGATGGCTATACACACTGTAATCTTGGGACTTGGGAAATGGAAGCAGTTTTGCCAATTCAAGGCCCACATGGGTTACAGAGCCAAGCATGATGGCCCACACCTTTAATCACAGCACTCTCAGAAGGCAGAAACAGGTGAATCTCTGTGAGGTTTTTTGTTTTGTTTTTTGGATTTTCAAGACAGAATTCTTCTGTGTGACCTTGGCTGTCCTGGAATTAACTTTGTAGACCAGGCTGAGAATAAAGGCACACACCACCATGTCAGGCTTGAATCTCTGTGAGTTTGAAGGCAGCCTGGCCTACAAAGTGTACAAAAAGAAACCACTACCCACCCACCCCACCCCCTGGGGTGATGGCTCATACCTTTAATCCTAACAAAGAAAGGAAGGAAGGGGGAGGGAGGAAGGGAGGGAGACAGAGATTGAGGTGTTCTCCCTGCCATACCTACAGAACAATTCGGGGTTTGAGACAGCCTTTTGAATGACAACCTTGAACCAGGGACTAGAGAGATGGAGGAGCATTAAGATCAGCTACTTTCCTTGCAAAGGATTGAGTTTGGCTCCTAGCACCCACATCAGGCTGCTAACAATCACCTGTAATTTCAGGTCCAAGGCATCCCAACTCTTCAAACACTGCAGTCCCATGCACATACCCACATAAACATAATTAATAATAATCAAAATAAACCTTAAAAAATCAAAAGGCTCTGATCCAGAGAGAGCCGCCCAGAACCTGGTGGCTCAGACGTACAGAAAAGTCCTGAAGAAAACCAGGATGGGCCTCACACCCTTTGACCTCAGAAACCCCACTACAGGGAGCTAACCAGAGAGAACAAGGCAGGAATGCCTTGTTTGCTGGAAGGGAGAGTGAGTAACAACAAATAAATTGCCTAACAAACTGCCAGATTTAATACCTCACCACGGATGCAGGAAATACAATCTTCACAGGAAGAACCAAGCTGTCAACCGTGCAGTGTGTAAAGATGCCAATACATCCATGTTAGTTCTCTCTAGTCTAGGGGGTGAGAGTAAGTGGTCTCTATTTGTATTTTCTTATTAATCCTTTTCAGAGTTTTCTAATTTATTTTCTTCAGGGATTTCACTTTAATCATAGGGGTTTGGAAACTGTTATTTGAATGGGCCTTGTACAATGGCAGGGAAATAAGTGACCATGGAGTACCTGGTGCATGACGGGAAAATTGAAAATTTAATCAACTCAGCTTCTCCCAGCACCAAAGAGGAAGAAGCCAGTGGCCTGGGAAGGAGGGATAAAGAACCTAGGCTGGCTGCAGAGAGAGAAGCACAGAGGCAAACACTTCAGACAACAGTCACTCAGGTGGACTTTACCCGGCATGGCCAATCAATCACCTCCTGCATGAAAAGCTTCACACACCAGCATCCTACAGCACTGCTGAGGTTTGGGAAATCAGGTATCACAGGATCAAAAAAAAAAAAGTGCAGTTAAGAACAAAGCCCAATCAAGGCTCCAGGCTTGAGTCACTAAGGCAAACACCCTGCTGGCACACAGATCTCCCACATGCCTGCTGGTATAAACAGCTGCCCAGGTCTGCCAGCTCCCAGGTGAGCAGGCCAAAGTGCCCCTGTGGATCCTAAAGGCTCATTGTAAATAATGTCCCTGCCATAGAAAGCTAACCACCTATCTCTCCCCTTGGCTTCCAGCACCACCGGCTGTGTGGTCCCACCCAAATGCTCTCCAGTCTACGCAAACCCAAATAATAGTAACACTAATACACACTGAGGGCCAAGAGATGGCTCAGGAGTAAGGGTGACTGACAACTCTGACAACCAGAGTTTAAACCCGAGGATCCATACGATTGAAAGACAGAACTCCCACAGGCTTGCCCCAGGACCACCCTGGAAGCACCACAGGACACGAAATATAATAACTATGACTAAAAAAAAAAAAAAAAATGGCCTTTAGACTCACTAAGCCCTGCCTTTCCACACAATATTCATTTCAAAACCAAAAATAACAAGCTCACAGTACAAAACCCAACAGATGTCTGCTGGCCATCTTTTTTTTTTTTTTTAAAGACAAAAATGTTTTAAGATCTGCTACAGACAGGCCCTATTAATACCTGCTGGCCTGTAACACAATCCGAACAGTTGACAGCAGAGGAGCCTCCTTACGGAATTTAGAAATACATGCACAAATCCTCCCAGCCTATTCTGCTTTGAAATAGAAACACCACCAGAATGATCAATCTTAAAGGGTAGAACAATGGGAGATGTAAGCAACCCACAAACATTAGCAACCAGAGTTGTAAGGGGGGGACTTAAAAGTATATAAAATAATCTTTCAGAGGAAAAATGGCTTGTGTGTGTGTGTGTGTGTGTGTGTGTGTGTGCGCGCGCGCGCACGCGTGTGCACGTGTGTTTTAATCAATGGAGGGCAGTTAAGAGCGCAAGCAAAAATCCCTCAGCAAAGCCCAAGGCTCAGGAGCCAGTTCTGACCAGCCATTCCAGAAACTCCACTTTCCCAGGCTTTTGCCTCTAAGAGCCCTGGGATTTCCCCTCACCCATTCCAGGCCAGGGAAGAATGAAGACAAGGGCAGGCCCCACCAGGGCTCCACACAAGCAGCGGAGAATGATAAAGCTCCCCAGGAATTAAAATCTTGGGGGCAGGCACAATAGACTTTGTCTCCCCTAACCTGCCAGACAACCAAATGGCAGGAGAATAAAGGGCCTGGAGGGAGCATGGAAGTTCCTTAAAACTCGGCAAGATAATTAAGCCAAACGAGTAAGACAATAAACCCCCCACCCCCTCCCGGATGCAAGTCACTGTTTATCCAAGCAGGGACCAACAAGTTACTCAGGGTTAATCCAAGAGGCAAGCTAGGCTTCAGTCATCACTCAGAGTAAGACCAATATTGGTCGTGTCTGCCCAAGCCTTGACTCCCCCTGCTTTATTACCCTCGGCCCTTCCATGATCTCCCATCCACCTCAGAATCTGGCTGAGCTCCCTGCCTCTTCTAAACTAGCCCCCTGATTTTGACCACTAGGGTAACAAAAGAGAATATCAAAACATTTGCTGGTCATAGTATTTGGGGCAGGGCGGGGTCACAATTTTATAAGCCACACAGGAGGAAAAGTCAGGAATTAAAAAGGGGCCAGCAAAATCAATGAATACACAAGTGTACCACCTTCCCACGGATGGAAACGTTCTGCTGTTGAATCTTACCTGAGACTCCCACGGGATACACAAGCAGTCGTAATTATTCCCATTTTATAGACGCAAGAGCTGGGACTCGGAGACTTGAGTAAAGTAACTCAAGAGTAACAGGGCTCTAAAGGCACACTTGCCTGAACAAGCTGAAGGCTCCCAAACAATTATTTGCCCATCCCCAAGGAGGGCAGTTACCTTCCAAAGACAAGACTCCCAGAGTTCCTGCCGAGTCTACACACTCAGTATAGTTCCAACCCACTGAAACCCAGCTACCCACTAGAAAGTCCCCTGCACTAGAGCCAGTAGGTTCTTGAGGACTACACATGCCTTCCCACGCTCATTCCCCAGAGGCCCACATTGACCAAGTACCTACAATGTGGGAAATTTGCTGGGTTTTCACGGTGGAGCCCTGGCTGGCCTGAGACTCCCATCAGTCCTACATCACCTAGTATTTTGAACCCCTGCTCCAATGTCGCCGCTTCAAATCAGCACCTGTGGCATCCTCCAGCATGGATGACACCACAAGTGCCCAACCTTGTATCCTAGGTTGACAACGCTGAGTAACTATAGAAGACCTACTGCATGCCAAGTCATGCCTCTCTGCCAATGAAAGCTGAGGAGTCCCCTCGGTTTGAAGGTGGTGGTGGCAGCAGGTATCCCACTCTACAGCCTGTACCCGGCAGGTCCCAGCTTGCACCACGATGGTGCAGACATTACAGACATTACGATACAATACGAGCCCCTGCAGATGTAGTGCCAAGAAAAAACGCCAAGGCTTCAAATGGACGAACTGAAAGCCCTAAGAGGTGTATAATGCAGACAACACACCGAAAATACACGCTAACCTTTTCAGGAAAGAAACCGTAGGTGAAATTTAACTATCCTGCAAAAGACGGGCTTTTATAAACGTTTCTCTCAGGCAGCCATTTAGCAAATGACACACTCCGGAGAGCATCGGCGCCCCCCTTCTCCCACTTCCTTCAAGCTCACCATTGCACTAGAGGGGGGGGGCAACGACACCTTCCTATTCTTGCCTTACAGTGGGCTTCGCCTCCCCATAATATTTACAAAGAAGAAAGGAAAGCAGCGTCCACTTTTGTGCAGGTAGATCCTCTCCAGAGAGGCCCTCCACCTCAACAGGGTTGCATTTCTCTCTTAAAAGGTAGGCGAAGAAAAAACAAAAACAAAAAACAAAAAAACATTAATCTGGCAGGCCCGGAGCAGCGACATCCTGTTTATTATTAAACATTTTTAGCAGCGCCTCCGGGTGCCGAGAAAACACCACCCGCTTCCCGCAGCCGAACCCACCCGAGCCGGGGCGGTGCTTGGCCTGCAGTTCCGGGCGGCCTCGGGGTCCCGCGCCCCCCGCCCCGGCCTACGAGGCCGCTGTCCTCAGGCGTTGCAGAGCTCTCCGGCTCGATCCCGACGGCGATCGGATCCCGGCCCCGCCCGACCCGCCGGCCTCCCGCCCTGACCGCCGAGACACAACAATGGCGAGCTGGAGAGCGCCGACCAGGCCGCTCAGGCCGCAGCCCCGGGCCAGCCGCAGAGCACGGCAGTGGAGACAAAGCGCAGCCCCGGCCCTAGCCCCGGCCCACCTGGTCTGCGTCCGCGAGCGACGGGCCCGGGCGATGGCGGTCGGGCGGCGGCCGGGCGCGGGGGCGGCGGATGGCGGCGGATTGCGCGGCGGCGGCGGCGCGGGGCTCGGCGCTCTGCGCTCCTGCCTCCTCCTCCCGCTCCTCGGCGCTCGCTGGAGCCTCGGCGCTGTAGCTCGCCGCCGCCTCCCGCCCGCGCTCGGCTCCCCGCCCCCCGCCGCCGCCGCCCCCGCCTCCGCGCCGCCCCCGCCGCCCGCACGGTGGCCCGCGCAGCGCCCCCTGCCGCGCCGCCCCTGTCCCGGGAGGGAGGGTGCGGGGAGCGGGCTGGGCCGCGGTGCAGAGAGCGGCTGCGGAAGAGAGGACCTCAATGGAGAGGAAGCTCGGCTGGAGAGGGGACGCGGTGGCGAGGGACCTTAATGGAGAAGGGGCTTAGGTGGAGAAGGTGCCTAAATGAGAGAGACCTTGGAGGAGAGGGGTCCTAGGTGGAGAAGAGACCTAGGTCAAGGATGTTGAGGGAAAGAGGCTTAGGTGGAGAGAGGCCTTAATGGAGTAAGGACCTAGGTGGAAAGGGGCTGCAATAAAGAGGGTGGCTCAAATGGAGAACAAGTGGAGAAGGAACTGGATGGAGAGGGGGTCCCAGGAGAGAAGGGTTTTCATGGAGAGGGGATCCTGGTGGCGAGAGACCTCAATGCAGAGTAGTGGGTCTGGGTAGAGATCACCCCCAAGGTGGAGAGGACCTTGATGGAGTGAGGGAGGGTTCCTGAGAGAGGACTGGGAACACACTGGGAGGAGACACCAGGGAAAGCTCTGGGGTGAGCAGGGGTAGGGGGAGAGCGCGGGCGCTCTAGAAGGCTGGGGACACAGACCTGAGACCTGGAAGGCAAGCAAGAGGGAGGGAGGGCTCAGAAAAGGGATCTGGCCTGGATCCTGCCCCCAACATCCCCAGAGCGATAGAACCTCCTGCAGCCCCACACCCAGACTGTGCTAGGTGTCTGACAGATCCAGGGTGAAGGCAGAAGTAGCACAGTGTCGTTTCCATTCCATAATAAGTGCACAGTATAGACACTTCACCCCTTTTGTTTAAGATGTCATAAACCACCCCTCTTGGGTGTTACCGTGTATTTGTGTGAATGCAAAACAAAAGGTCTGCTGTGAGAGAAAATGGCTCCCCTCGTGGTTATTTGTGTGGTGAGAGGTGGGAGAGCTCTCCCTATTCAATCCAGATACCCTGGCAATTAAAAATAAAATTCAAGAAATAAAAACAATAATGAAAAAGAATAGTTAGGGATATAGCTCAGTTGTAGAATTCATATTATTATGCAGGAGGCCTTGGGCTTGGTTACTGGGTGGGGGGGGGGAAATGGTAGGACCACAGACAGCCTCATCTTGGGCATTTTTCTGAACAGGCTAAATCCCAGCTCTGCTACCATGCCCTATGTTAGTGGACTGGGTTTGTGTGATTTAATGCTAACTCCAGAGCACATGTTGCTACAATTAACAGATAAGAAAAAGAGGGATCAAGAGGGTACATAGCTTCCCCAAGGCTGTTCAAATGAGCCCCAGAAAGATTAGCCCATTTCAGTGGAACTTGGAATGCCAGGTCCAGTGCCTGGGAATGAGATTCTGCGGAGATTCTGCCTTTCTTATGCCTTCCCAATTTTACTGCTTTATATCATGATCAGTTTTATGTTATCTCCTCTTCAAAATAAACATGTCTGTAATCCCAGCACTGGAGAGGCTGAAACAGGAGGACTGCTGTTCATTTGAGACCAGGCTGGGTTCCATTGTGAGTCTCTGGACAGCCCAGGCTACATAGCAAGACCCAATTTCAAAAATAAGTAAGTAAAGCAGGGTGTGGTGGTGCAAACATGTATGGAGTCCCAGCACTGAGGAGAGGGGAGCAATGGGATCAGAAGTTCAAAGTCATCCTACATTGAGATGAGAGAGAGACTTACAGAACAGATATCCTGGGATATGCAGCAGAGAGCAACAAGGTACAAGGCAAGAACAGACACCTAACATTACTCCTACCCTTTGACCTCTACATGTGTAACACTCACACACATTTACAGAGAAACGCTTGGACACACAATGGCCACATGTGGCCAAGGAGCGCTTGATATGTGACCAGGATGATGATTTTTCAATTTTTCCGTTTTTGGTTTTTTGAGACAGGATCTCTCTATAGAGCCCTGGCTGTCCTGGAACTTTCTGTGTAGACCAGGCTGGCTTTGAACTCATAGGGAATGGCCTGCTTCTTCCTTGCAAGTGCTGGTAAATGGTATTTTTTATTTAGTGTGTTAAATAAAATACACAGTTGTTCGTTCCACAGTGGGGTGGTAATGGTTCTAGGACTGCTTGAGAACACCAAAACCCAAAGATACTTCAGTCTCCTATATAAAATGTCAAGATATTTACCCATGACTTACACATAGCCTGCTGTACCCTTTCATTGTTTTCAGATCACTCTTGCTACCCACTACACCTCAAGAGTGATGTAAATAGTTGCTCTGCCTTGTTGGCCTGGGGAATAATGACAGGGATAAAACTCTATTCATGCCTAGGATGGATGCAACTTTCCTTCTCTCTCGATCTCTCTCTCTCTCTCTCTCTCTCTCTCTCTCTCTCTCTGTCTGTCTGTCTGTCTGTCTCTCTGTCTCTCTCCTCACTTCATAGTCTAGGCTGACCTTGAACACAGTAATCCTCCTGCCTCAGGCTCCCCCAGTGTTGAGATTACAGATGTGAGCCAGCCACCATGCCTAGCTTCTCTGAAGATTTTTCATCCTCAGTGAGTTGAATCGGAGAATGCGGGACCTGGGGATACATACAGCCAACTATATAGCTAAAATTCATTTTATATCATGGACTCTTAGCCAGTCTTACTAAGATCCTGTGATTATATTGGAGGCACCTAAATAATCCAGGATTCTTAACTGAATCATACCTGAAATGTCCCTTTTGCCATGTCAGATTACATAGGCACAGGTTAGGACCACTGACACTGGGGTGGCTTTGTTGTGCCTGTTGTAGTCTGCCTTTCTTCTCTGCCTAATGGAAAAGCAGCAAAGCCCGTCTTGTGGGTACTTGGTGAGGGTTAATGACAGAATCCAGGGCTGGGGGTGTCTGTAGCTCAGTTGGCCTAGCACACACAAAGCCCTAGGATTTGGTCCTCAGCATTGAAAGAACCACACACCTGTAATCCACAGGATTGTCAGAAGTTCCATGTCATCCTGTAACCCAGACCGGCTTCCGACTCCCTACCAGTACAACAGTTACTTGGAAAGCACTGATTCACCAAGTCAGGCAGGTCTGCCAGGTGTTGACAGAGGTAATGCTTAAAAGTCATATCTGTTGGGCCAAGGAGATGGCTCCATTGGTAAAGTGTGAGAACTTGAATTCGGTTTCCTAGCATCCGTGTAAAAAAGCTGATGGCATATCTGCAACCCAGGGCTGGGACAGGGAGGGAGAAGGCTCAATGGAGTTCTTCAGCTAGCCAGACTAGCCAACTAGTAAGCTCCAGGTTCAATGAGAGACCCTGTCTCAAAAAATAAGATAGAGAACAACTGAGTAGAAGCTATTTGGCATAGACCTCTGGCCTCCACAGCACATATAGGCAGGCATGGCACCCACACCCCACCCCCTTCACACACAGACTCACACAATCATATCTGTTAATGCTCCACTCTCAGAACAAAATTTAATTGCTAGTTGAGATTACTATGTGGAAGCTTCACATTCTCCACAACTCTAGCTTGTGCTTGAAATATCACCTATTATTGTTGTCAGTACTAGCCATAGCTTCCTTTGAAATGAGTCATGAGTCTACTCAGATCTATGTTGTTTTGAGGCAGGGTCTCTGGCTGGTCACATACTTACTCTCCACATCCCCCTCTGTTCACCTTTCAAGTGCCAGGATTATAGGTGTGCACCAGCCCATCCATCTTGCAAATATCAATGTTTATATCAAAACATTGAACCAATCCAATCCAAAGATATACTTACATACTAAGAAATAATGGTAGGAAAATAGCATTTGTTTCCATAGTTAGACCATCGTATTCTTATATGAGTATGCATTTTTATGTGGTCAATTAAAAGCATTGCAATTGCAATTCTGCTGGATGCAATTGTGCACACATTTATTCTCTGTCAAGAGACAGAGGCAAGTGGTTCTCTGTGAGTTCAAGTCCAGTCTGGTCTATATAGCAAGTTCCAGGATACCCAGGTATGGTGGCATATTACTTATGATTTATTAAAGCTTGCCTGAGGATTCAGAAAGCAAAGTCAGCCACAAGCCATAGAAGCCAGGCACTAATCTTTAATCCCAGCAGCCAGAAACTAAGAAGTTGTTGTATACACCTTTAATCCTAGGATTCAGGATTAAGAGGTAGACAGATCTCTGTTAGTTCAAGGCCACACTGAGCTACACTAAATTGATCCGGTCCTAAAGAGAAACATCTCACACAAAGATGATCTCAATACTTGCCCACCTTTAATCCCAGGACTCATGAGAAGTATTTAAGACAGGAACAATGTAGTGAGACATCCACACCATCCACTACAGAACAGGGTCTCAGAGCTGGCATTCATTCTCCAGCTACAATGAGGCTAAGAAGATATTGAAGTCTCAGGATTCTCTCCAGCCACACTGAGGAGAGGCAGCAGTCTGAGGCTTGGTAGAGAGCTCATGGATCAGCCCTTTCAGCCTGAGGTAGAGGTAAGAGCTAGTGACTGCCTGATGCTTTGCTTTTCTGATCATCAGCCTGAAACTTGAACCCCAGTATCTGTCTCTGGGTCTTTTATTTTTTGTGCTACACCTGGGGCTTCATCGAAAGACTCTGTCTCAAAGATAGATAGATAGATAGATAGATATTGAATGGATAGATAAAAGACACTGGTTTTTGTAGTGTCTGAGGCTTGGTAAAAGGTCAATGTTATGTCAATAGTTGTCATCCATATTGCTTAGGGAAGAGAAGACAGCATGTGTTCCCAGAAGACATAAGCTTTGTCCCTATATTTTTCTAGCCCTGGTTAATGGACTGCTGGAGAGGGACCTGCAGGCATGGACACTGCACTCCTTTGTGCCACACAGTGCCTTTCCTATACTGACTCTTATGTCTCACAGAATATTAAGGAATGTGTCCCCCAGGCTCAGATTTAATGAAA